TGCTCACTCGAACAAAATGAATCGAAGAGGTCAATTTTTGACCAGAAGGGGAACAACATTGGGACTCTGAACGGGAATTCTTCGGTGTCAAAGGTTGGAACTGGGAAGTGCCTCGCGTAGCCTACATCAAAGCGAATCATTCCATTGGCACAAATCTAAAAAAAAGAAATGTAAAAATATAATTAGTTTTGGATTCATATAAAGAAGGGTGGAAATTCTTTTTTGCCTATTAGTATTAAAAACCCCCAAAAGGTTGGCGAAAATGGTTCTAAAAGGTTTGCAAAACTGCTGGACGTTTTAAAAAAGCAAGTAAAAAGTTACTATTTGAAAAGGCTTCTATTTCTGTCATCTCCTCTGATAAGGCATGCCCCGGTCCACAGGAAGGACAGATTACCTTGTTCCCTGAGTAAAAGTTCCATCATATCCTTTATTGCACCTTGCAAAATTTAACTTAGGATTTATGGTTTGTGATTTCCTGTCCGTTCTTCTTGTCTGCTTTCTACTTTGTGATTTCTGATCTAGCTTAAAGCGATTTTCAAAAATCTCCTTTACGCTAAATTTTATAGGCGCCAAAAAAAAAAAGATCTCATTCGTAGCGACGAGGCTCTCTGAATTGTTGATTTTAAATTACGACTTCACCTCTTTAGCATAGGCTGGAATAAGCCATGATACTTACATACAGGACGTAATGTTTGTCGTCAAAGAACCAGATACCATAGTCGTAAATTATTTCCGTACACAGCTCTTCGCGGATCAATCTCACATCCATCTCCGTGTCGTTCTGTTCTTTTCCGTAAGGATACATTTTATTCCAGAAACAGTCAACTGTGTGAAAAATGTTACGTGAGATTAGTTACGGGGATAAAATTCTCGGAGCTTGAAGTGGCAAACACTGTGGCCAGAGGATAACTTACATTTAGCATAAAGGGACATATTGCTAACTTCTCCGGGACGGTGTCACCTTCTTACCACGTTCCCTCAGCCACTTAGCAACTTTCCACGAAGAAGAGTTTTATCGTAACGGTCTAATCTTCTGAGAGGAGATGGGCACCAAAGAACACAACGCAACATTTCCTCCGATCGAGACTTAGATCCTTCACATGTAGTGCTCGGCGCGTTGGCAATAAGGCCTCTTCATCTCCCGCCAGGAGATCATGAGATGTGGCCTAATGTAATGCGTTATTTAAGCTGTTACATGCTTAGATCATTGAAATATTGTCTTAAAGTCGTAACAAACGTGTTGCTTCCCATTTTTTTGGTTGAGGGCCTTGAGCAAAAGCTCGATATCGACCGCGAGAAACCCGGTGAATTGAATGGAAAAGATTATGAAAGGAAAGAGCTCTCATTTCTTACCTGGTTTACTGCAATTTCTTCCTTCGTAGGCTTTAGGAATTGGACAGACACAGAAGAACTGGTGGTTATCATCCACAAAACACTGCCCGTCGTTTTCACATGGATTGGTATTATAGCAAGGATCAACTATCAGATAATAAAGAATCGCAGTGAGATAGTTTAGTAGATTTATACCGCCCATCCTACATTTTTATTTCATCCATCTTCTCAGCGTTTTAAACATAGTATCATAGAGAAGACAGAGAGTATCATAGAGAGAACGGGAAAAGGCATGAAGGTAAGCATGGTGAAAAGGCTAAATAGTTCCTTAACGTCTGTTTCATTATCATCAATTCCTACAGATTACAGCACATAACATTCCTTATGTACTGAGGGAAGTTTATTCTGCAATGGTACTCCACTTTCATTAGAGATGAGAGATATAGGGATCATAAAATAATTTTTTCCGTCCAGGAATAGCATCTTTTAATGGAAGTAAATGATGTAAAGGTTCTATGGCCATTTGTTCTGCTATCATCAAAGTTAACTTCGTTAGATTGGACGTGTCTCCTATTTTTGATAACTTCTGTCGCGCTAACAGAAGTTTCCGAAAGGGGGTGTGTCCAGAGTATGCCGCCTCATCTGGTATTTTAAACATTACAGTAGGAATACTTGGGCGATTTCGTTCCGGTGTCTTTAAAGTCGTGGGTTAAAAACTAACTATTGCCCATATTTTTGTATTAGAAGTCTATGCAACAAAGTCGGGTGACAAGTGTATGCGTTCTTTATGGATACACAATGCAAGAAATTGGAAAGAATGTCATACCGATGTCGCAGTTTTTCCCAATAAATCCGACTGTACAGTTACAGGTATAGTCATTTATAAGATCTGTACAGGTCCCGTTGTTTTGGCAAGGGCTGGGGGCGCATTCATTCACATCTGAAAAAATAATCACAACGCAAAATAAAGTCCATGCATTGGATCTTTGACCCATCCTAAATAATTTATAGCATTATGACATAAGACTATGAACCCATCTAGCTTCTCGTAGCCGTTTACAATATCCCTAAATAGATGTCACTGGTAGGCTTTTTAATCTTACTTCTGTCATTTACTTATAGTCTAATGGTGTTTCCATCTGTAACTTTTCATTCGAGACTTAAGCTTAAGGATCAGAGTTCTGTTTGGCGTAGTACAATTGCCGAAGAACATTTTTAACCCGGTGTATATTGCACATACCAGGAGCCAAAAGTTATTCTTATAGAAAGTATCTACATGTAACTTTGCCAGGTTAGTAAGATTTTTATGGAAAAAATTTTCATACTGTTTTCGCAGTCTTTTCCATTGTAACCAGGCACACAGGTACAGTTGTAATCATTTATTTCATCTGTACAGGTTCCTCCGTTTTCGCATGGATTAGGGTCACAGTCATCGATATCTGAAAAATATCGTCACAATTTCTTATTGACTATGATGAAAGAATTGCTAAAATTCGTCATTTGAATCTGAGACATTCTTGCTTTCGTCTACGCCTCATTCTTTGGTTTAAGACGACTTTAAAAAGAGAACCAATCGAGCTTTCTCAGGCACTTGCTTCCGTTTGAAATATTTTTTTTGAAAAAGAGAATCGTCTCACTTATCTTCAAAGAAGGTTCTTATACATTTACTTGGTTGCCAGTCTTAAGTTTTTGGATGCGAATGTATTATTAGGAAGGCATTCAAATATACGTTAAATGGTGTTGAGACTTTTTACGCGGAGGTTGTCACATGTTTTAAGTCAGTTTCACCATGTAAGAAAATTTCCAGAAACCTCAGAATCAACAATGAAGTTATTTTTGAATCTTTTTGAAATTTCGGATTCTTCTTTTCCCCATTCGGTGCCTTTAGTTGGCCAGCACTCAGGAGCTGGGGAGACTAAGTATCGTCAGTATACGATTTTGAGTTCTTACTCTGGTCGCAGTCCTTCCCGCCGTAGCCAGCGACACAGGTACAGATATAGTCATTAAATGCATCAGAACAGTTTGCACCGTTTTTGCACGGACCAGAAGCACAGTCATCTACAAAACCTTAAAAACATGGCAAGGATTAATTTCACGTTGTCTTGAAAATACCTGACCTTCAAAACTCAAAATTCAAAAAGGTGGGATGTTTCCAAAAAGCAGTCGAGTCAAGGGAGACCGCCATGTCGAGGGAATTAAATCATGTCGTCTGTTTTATTG